AATCATGATTGGTTGTTTGCTTAGTCAGATATATGTAGATGGTCTGATAGGGGTGTTAGATGAGTTATATATTCCCCCTATCCTCATTAATTATTATTATTATTATTATTATTATTATTATTATTATTATTATTATTATTAGGACTTACTTATTATTGATTATTCATTGTTATTGGATTGTGTCGAGTTTTCGGTGTGGAAATATATTTACATTGTGGTCAAGTTAGTCACGTGTTCTTCATCTGAGTTGTTTTGAAGTCCTGTAGAATAATAGACACTGGAAAGCAGTCTAGTGTAGGTATTCGTTTAAGGTAGATTAACATCCCATACGTGTAAACGTAGAAACCTAACCGCTATAACATTAGACGAAGTAAAACAGAGCGTTATAACAGTATATATATATATATATATATAGAGAGAGAGAGACCTGTGTCCCCTGTTAATGTACAACGTAATGATAGTTCCAATAAGAGAACAGAGAATTATCGATCGGACCAATAATGCATAAAACTCGTACGAGCAGTTTATAGTCATTATTGGTCCTGCTTCTTGCCTAGTCTTGCCTGCCTGTTACATCCAGAACATCAATCTCAGCCACTGCGATATGAATCATGTATTTCAAAGATACAGGGTTTATATACAGACCAAACAGATCACATCGTACCATAAAATAAGAAACAACATTTATACAAGATCTAACCAAATGTGGCTATGAATGTGGGAGGTAGTGATTAATAGATAGGGCATAATTCAAGAATGATAAACAGTATAATAATAGTTCATACGTCAAAATAAAGCTCATAATAAGAGTGATATGTATATGAATAGTTTAGTTTTTTAATATTTATACGACAAAAGTATACGTTCGGTATTGGTCCATAAAATGAATCTCAAAATTACCATTCATTATGCTTATCGGGACATAACAAGTATGTTTATAAATATATATGTGTGTTTCGGTTCTGTTTTGATACTCATCAATTAAATGTACTTGTTATTGTTTAATATGATTGTTAGGTTTGTTTTTTAAAATATTCTTTTTTGCTTCTCTTCCATTCTTTTGCGTATTGTTTTATACTACTTATTTAAATTTAGTAATTAGTTGCATTACGAGTAATATTCTTGAAATATTTATTTATACTTTTAAAACATTTATTGTATTTATGATTGTAATTACTTTATGTCAATCATTGTAGCAGTTACTTACAGTTTTATTCATTTGTTAAAAAGCACTGGTTTCTATAATGTTTGCTCTTGGTTCGGGTTTTGGTTGTTGATAAACTGTTACCAAGTTTAAACATAGTTATCCGCTGTCTTTTGCATTATTGAAGATCTTTTTATTTCATACAAAAGGACGCGTTAAACACCGCAGACACCTCACAAGTTAAGGTTTATAAATATTTTTTTGTGTATTATTTAATAATGAACCACTAATTTAGACAAATGATTGTTTTGCTAACTTCAGTTATGCGCGTATCTTAATTAGATGACTTAAACACTTCGATAGTATTTATATATTTATTTTAACAAATAGATATTAGTACAAGGAGGCATCAAATATATATGCACCACACATATATCATTTGACATGCGTGAGGGATGTGATACTGTCCGGGTTCCCAAACCGAAACAGGTGGTTTTCTTAGGGGACCACAACCGAAGCCTTTGACATCAAGGTCTGACCCACAAGGCAGTGGAGCATCGTAAGGAGATGCAGTCCCATGGTAGCCGGTGACCGAAAATCGGTTCATACGCCATTTGTTCCTTCAGGATCCTGGAGCCCATTGGTTTGAAATGAGGGTTTTCCAACTCTCCTAGGTGGACTCTCCATGTCCACCAACTCGGTTAAAGAGCCGGACATTCTCTTTCCGTCCTCTCAACTTCGTAAACAACATTAATGCCGCGAGTAAGCAGTGAGGCTATATACGCGAGGACATGTGAGAGCATTTCGAGAGTGTGAGTGGACTCTCTACACTCTCGGCCGTACCAAGGCATTTGGGGGCGCTTTGATAGACCTAACAATGGTTTATGCTTAAATTTCCTTTCAAGATATTCACATATTGTTCAACAAATCAATTGAGTGATGATAGTACCTAATGTGGAAGTGAGAATGATAATGATTGGTTGTTTTCCTAATTAAAATTGTAAATAGTCTGATAGGTGTTGGATGAGTTATATATTCCTCTATCCTTATTATTATTGGTTTTTTGCATATAAATATACTTATGTTCTAGTCAAGCTTATCATGTGTTCTTGATCTGAGTAGTGTTGAAGCCCTGTAGAATATCGACACTAGAAAGGTATCCAATATAGATAATCGTTTAAGGTAAATTAACGTCCTATTCATGTAAACGTGGGAAAACTGAACGTTATAACACCAACATACTTTATTGATGACAATAAATATTGTACTTGTTTGATTATGTTTATGACAATCAGAATTCAATACTTTGATTAATAGTTAGTTAGCTTTTGAAGAGACAAGTATCTGTCTTATATTTTGGTATAAACAATAACATTAAAGTTTAGATAAATGCATCTAATAAGTTGTAAATAGAAAAAAGCGCACAACATTTACATTCACAATTGTTTCGAACTGAATTGTTACTTTTGCAGAATGTCAATCAATTGTCTCATACTTCAATGTTCCTTCGTTTCCATATCCATCATTCTTTGTTCTCGTTTACTTCTCTTTGATCTTTGTAACCTTCTGCTATCAGATATTTCATCAATATCAGTAGTACACATACCACACTAACTGTAAATTATTTTTGATAATATATACAATTCATAAACTAACTATTCATTTTAAGTAAAGTTGGATAGTGACTATCACTGAAATCGAAAATGCAACTTACGCCCTATTCATGACTCGTCAGATGGATTTACCTGCATTCCATAGTTGATGTTCACTCCGACACTCAAACTCTGTATTCTTCACTTCAAACACCGTCGTGTTATACATTTAGCTACTGAGCTTTAATAGTCACCTGTTTGTGTATTGAGGTGAAGTTTAAATTCAATCTTCCCATTATTATTTAGAACTGTAATTGATGAATCTCTTATTGACATGTATAGATTGCAATCGTTAAAATCCTGAGTCAGCTGAATCCAGACCACTATGGAAAACCTGGAACCACTGGACGACCGTTTCGTCCTATTGTGAGACTCCTCAGCAGTGCGCATCCACGACCTTGCCCTCCGCGAGATTCGAACCCAGGAACTACTGGTTTCGCTCGCGAGCACTTAACCACTAGACCACTAAGGCGGCCAACTAATCCATGAAATTGAGCAACACATCCACCGTTTTCTTGAATGAGTTACTATCTCACAACAGACCTGGTTAAACTCCACTGATCACTGTTTCTCACTAGAACTCCATGATATATAGCTTTAAGTCACAAGCATTATAAGCAAAAATGGATAGTGACTAACAATGGAATCCAGTTTGATGAATATTTCATTTTAATTCCTTAGTTTCCATTGAACCTTTTTCTCTTTTTTTTCTTTTTTTTTTCTTTTTTTCTCTTAGGAAAAACGAATTTTTGATTTAAAGAAAAAAAATCAAGAATTAGAAAAATTCAAATACGTTTTAGATTATAAAATTAATGAATTAAAAAAACAAATTGAACCAAGAGAAAATGATATAAAAATTTATAAAGAACAAATACAAGATGTAAGGAAACAAAACGAAAAACCAAAACAGTTTTTTTTTCTTTTATTTTTGTTGCCATAGCTACTCTGATATGTCCTCCCACCCACCCCCACCTCGACTCTAGGTTAAATCTATGCAACAACATGAATAGGAGAGAAAAGGCTGGGAATATGGATGAAAGCACTTCACTCCAAAGTTCTGATAACCATCCCCTCCTCCTCCTCCTCCACCTTACACTAAATCTATACAACAACATGAATATGAGAGAAAAGACTCGGAATATGAATGAAAACGCTTCACTACATAGTTCTGATAACCACCTTCTCCTCCTCCTCCTCAATCTTAGACTAAATCTACACAACAACTTGAATATAAGAGAAAAGGCTGGGAATATAGATGAAAGCGTTTCACTCCAAAGTTCCGATAACCCTCTCCTCCTGCTCCTCTTCCACCTTAGACTAAATCTACACAACAACTTGAATATGAGAGAAAAGGCTTGGAATATAGATGAGAACGCTTCACACCAAAGTTTTGATAACCACCTCCTTCTCCACCTTGCACTAAATCTATACAACAGCTCGAACATGAAAGAAAAGTTACGTAATATAGAAAAGATGCTTTACTTCAAGTTCACTTGATGTACAGAATATTAAGGATATTTTACAGCATTTTAGATTACTTTTAAGCTCCTATTAAACATAGTGGTTGGATAAGTCATCATCCAATCAAGGATGTGACATGTGACTTATCACGTTCTAGATGTTTCTGAGAAACTTCTATCTAATGCTGATTGGATAAAATGTTTTCCAGCATTTTACAGAGTCCGTTCGAGAATTTTTTTGAGGAATTTTCTAGGTCTTCCCAACAATATGATCATATACTTATGATAGACAACTAACTAACTAAATAATTTAGAATGTATCAAATCAGTCAGTGACCCAAGTTTACTCGAATATAACACAAATTAATTGACATATTCTCATATTATATATAACACACATTTATTTGTATCAGTCTGATGATCTGATCGCGGCGATTAGAACCACAATGGGACGAAACGGCCGTCTAATGTACCCAGGTTTTCAATGGTTGACTAACATCAGTCGGTTCATGATCTTAGTCAAAAACTTAATATTCTCCACAACCCACAACTAAGAACAACAATAATCTGACTGATGAAACTATTATTAAGCCAATAATAACCAAATCAATTTATCAAGGAATCAGGTAACCCTGAGTTATTCAAGGTTAGGTTAGTACATGCTCAAAGCCTGTTTCTAATATTACCAAGGTATGGTCAAAAAAGTGTCGTTAAAAATGTCTTGATCATTGCCTTCATGATTGTTCACAATAGTATGATATGTGATTGCATCTCATTTAAATCACTTGGGTATCAATGATCATACTTTATACTTGGATATACCTGGATATTCAAGCCAAACAGATCTAGCTAAAAGTGGCTGTGAATGTGGGAGACTTTGATTAATAGACTGAGCACAACTCAAGCCGGAACATGAATATGCATAGTTTAGTTACATAACAATTATACAATGAAAATATACGTATAATATTATTTCATAATTAGTTTTCGGAAATTAACATTCATAATTCCATTTGTGATATAACAGTATTGTCTAAGCTCGGTGAATTTTCTGCCGTTCTGTACTACATTATCACAGAGTACTCTTTATATTCCACCTGTAGTATATTTTAGAAAATAGAGCTGAGGAGTCCCATACTAGGACGAAACGGCCGTCCAGTGCTTCCAGGTTTTCCATGGTGGTCTAGCTTCAATGGATTCATGATTTAAACCAGTGAAATAGAGCATATGTTAATATTCCTATCAAATGTGACGTTTATATTTTCATATTATATTTTTAACTACTTATTTTTTAATCAATAATATAATTTATTAAATGAATTTAATGATTATTTCATTTAATATAGATGGAAGCTGAATTACAACGATTTCATAAACAAAATGATCAACTTGAAATAAATATTACTGAATTAAAACAAAAATATAAATCAGTTGAAAATGAATTAAAACTTGAACGTCAATCAACTAGAGATGTTGAATCAATAGTTCGTCGATTAAAAACAGATTTATTCAATGTTGTTGGATTAATTCAAGAACCAAAACAATTAAAAGCTGGTATATTAGCATTATATAAAAAACATATTCATGAGGATATGGTTAGTTAGTTATGTGTTTTATTATTTTGGATATTTTTCTAGGCAAAGATGGATGTTGGCTAGCAATGGAATCGTGGATGTTCGTTTCGTTCTATTTGGGGCTTGTCAGTTAGATGTATTTACACCTCAGAGTTGATGTTCACTCCAGGAATCGAATCCAGTACCGTTAACACAGTATGCATATACGCTAATAAGCAACTAATCAACTACAGATTTAAGTAAACAGTACCAAGTGAATTTAAATTTCATCCCAAGCAAGTGACTATCAGGAATGAGTAGCTAAGTGAATGACATGATGACGTTTGAAGCAAACGGTACTGGATTCGAGTCCCAGGGTGAACATCAACTCTAAGATGCAATTACGTCCGTCTGACTAGTCTCAAATAGGACGGAACGCGGATCCTTGATTCCACTGCTAACCACCATCTATCTTTCCTTAGAATGCTTGTCTTACGGCAATGTCAAGGTAACACGCACAGTATGTATATATGCCTATGCGACTAATCAATTGCAGTTTTGATATTGATATATTGATATTATTATAAGCTTTATTCAACATTATATTTTTGGTACAATATTGAATTTTCGGCATAAAGTATTTGAACAAGTTTCCTTTTCTTAAATCTTGATCGATCCTGACGATAAATATTGAGTGATGGCCAGTTAGATGTTAGGAGTTCGATAATCGACATCTGAATAATGTTCATTCGTTTCAATGCATATTGCAAACCACCATGATGTCGCTGGTTGTACCTTTTTGTAATCTGTACAGCGAAAGGTTGTAAACTTTTCATAAAAGCGCCTGAATAGGTTGTGAGCTCAATAGACATAATAGTGTGTTAAAACAAACAAGAAAACAGATTACTTGACGAAATATCTAGATGGGAGGAACAGGTAGCCCAGATATTCAAGCAGGCCGCCGATCAATGGGAAGTTTCAAATTATCAATACAAAATGAGTTGATATGTTTTGTTCAAAGACTAAAAAAATGAATAAATGAATGAATGAATGAATGAATGTATCGTTCGTCTCTTTGATTTCAAGTCAATATATCTCATAAACTTGGAGTGTGATTGTCACATTAACAAAAGAATACTGTTTAGTTGGTTCAATAAATATGAAGAATAGGATTTATGTTACAATATTTTAGACGGTATCAGTCTGCTTAACCACTTCAAGTTATTTCTAATGTACAATAAAACTTTGTTTATTATTCTTTTCTTTTATTGGTGAGACTATAAATTATGGATGAACCAATCACGTATAAGATAACAAGTCTCAAATTTTGGCACGAAATTCATTCACCCATTTGACTAAATAGAGTTTTATTATCAGAAGGGATTGTGTGGAGATTTTTAGAAATTTCACTAGTTGAAATCATGAATCCATTGAAGCTAGACCACCATGGAAAACCTGGAAGCACTGGACGGCGCCCGGGGCGAGACTGATAGGTCCTGGGTTCGAATCTCGCGAGGAGCGGGATCGTGGATGCGCACTGCTGAGGAGTCTCATACTAGGACGAAACGGCCGTCCAGTGCTTTCAGGTTTTCCATGGTGGTCTAGCTTCAATGGATTCATGATTTCAACCAGTAAATAGAGTTTTGTCATAGTATTTGATATCAGTTCATAATAAAAAAAACCCCTCAATCTAATTCCTAACCCTAAACATCAACTATAAATCATAATTGTAATTCCTCACACTAATTTATAACTCTCATTTGGTCTTGGTTATAAGGTGGACAATATTCAAGGTCAGTCTAGCATCACTCGAAGGTCGTCCATAAATTATAGTCTCAAGTGACTGTACCAGATCAATATATTTTTCGTCAATACAGGAAATCAATGGTAGACCTTTGGTTAAACTATACTACTATTTCTAATAGATGCTACTGAAAAGTTTTTCTCTTCAATTTCTTATCACTATAAACAACTCCAATCTTTTCAGTCTAGACAAAGAAGTATAATATTGAAATCAAGAAGTGATATGTACTTCAGATTAGTTTTGTCAGTTATTATTCCATTATTTCCTTGACTTTTCAACAACTTATTTAGTTAATTAACTGATCTATCTGATACATTCTCTGACTAAATCATTATACACTTACTTACTACTTACTGACACCTGTTACTCCTCGTGAGGGAGCATAGGCTGCTCACCAGCATTCTCCATCCAACTCTGTCCTGGGCAATCCTTTCCAGCTCTTTCCAGTTCTTATTCATCTTTTTCATATCCGATTCTATTTCCCGACGTAATGTGTTCTTTACCCTTCCTCTTTTCCACTTCTCTTCAGGATTTCAAGTTAGCGCTTGCGTCGTGATGCAGTTTGATGATTTACGTAATGTATTTCCTATCCATTTCCATTGTTTTTGTTATAACGTGTGATCCGCCTATTAGAGAGCAGCCTATTATCGATCGAAACAGTGACGCACAAAATACGACCGAGCAGCCTAGAGCTCTGATTGGTCCTGCTTCCCTGTCTAGCCCAGCCAATTGAGTCCAGAACACAAGTCTCAGCCTCGGAGATATGAATCATTATATTTCAAACATACACTGTTTATATACCAAACAAACAGACCACAACGTACCATAAAATAGAAAGTAACATTTGTACAAGATTTAACCTTCAGGAAATGACACAAATAAATATTGACCAATAAGGAGATGACACGTTGGAAGAATGTTGACCAATGGGGAAATGACACTACTTCTCATTCAGGAATAGCATTAGATAATTTCTGGGGTATTTTCTGAATACCCCAACAGTCTTTTTCTATTTTCCTGTTCAGCTGGAAGCTGGTTTGTTCTCTCCCACAGAAGGCTGTTGCTGATGGTATCCGGCCAATGGATGTTGAGTATCTTGCGTAGACAGCTATTGATAAATACTTGTACCTTCTTGATGGTGGTTGTTGTAGTTTTCCAAGTTTCAGCTCCGTACAGTAGAACTGTCTTAACGTTCGTATTGAAGATTGTGACTTTGATATTGGTTTACAGACATTTGTTTTCAGTTCCATATGTTCTTCAATTATAGGAATGCGGCCCTTGCTTTGCCAATTCTTGCCTTTACGTCTGCATCTGATCTCCTTGTTCATCGATAATGCTATCCAGGTATGTGAAGGATTCCACATCTCCCGGATTCTCGCCATCAAGTTTGATTGAATTGTGTATTTGTATTTGTATTTGTATTTGAGGACCTTGGTTTTCCCCTTGTGTATGTTCAGGCCTACTGATGCAGAGACAGCTGCTACACCAGTTTTCTTCACCTGCATTTATTCGTGTTCATTGAATAGGACGGCTAGGTCATATGCAATGTCCAAATAGTCTAGTTGATTCCGAGCTGTCTATTGTATTCCGTGTTTTGCCTCAGATGTCGAGGTCTTCATACTCCAGTCGACCACCAGAAGGGAGGGGATAGAGTAGACAGCCTTGTCTGACTCTGGTCCTTACTTGGAATGCATCTGTCAGCTGTCCTCCATGCACTACTTTGCACTGTAGTCCATCGTATGAGTTCCGGATAATATTGACAATCTTCTCAAGAACTCCATAGCGTCGAAAAAGTTTCCATAATACATATCATTACTAAGATTTGATTTGATAATTTCGAATAAATTGAGCATTGGGTTGATTGCTATAAATAAATTAATATATTTGTAATATCCCAATGAGTAGAAAATTAGATTTTCTGACGTTTCGTGATTTAGTGTAAGTCACTTCTTCAGAATATAAATAACCAAATTAAAATTAATCCAAGTTTAAATAGTAATAGTCAAGAGATCGAAGATTTTATGTTTCATTTCCTATTCATGAAAAGAATAAGCATGTTAAATAGTTTGATCTGTTACAGTTGATCAATATTGTTTTAACATATAGTGATTACATTAACTCCACCACTGAATTAACTACTTCTATGAATCCGGTGTTCATTTTGTTGTGCTAATGCGGTATGGTAACTTGGACCGATGCATATATGTGCCTAGTCCTACGTTGCAGCTGACCGACCGACTGACTGACTGACTGACTGACTGACTGACTGACTGACTGACTGACTGACTGACTGACTGACTGACTGACTGACTGACTGACTGACTGACTGACTGACTGACTGGTTACATTAACTGATGAGGTATTATGATGTCTTTTATATCATGTTAAAAGGGAAAAAACAATCCTCATTTATTTTCTTACTTTTAATGTGATTAATTTCTGAATTAAATAATCATATAGAACATTCTCTTTAAAATCTAGAATATTCAACTACCAACAGTAAGTGACTAAGAATAAGATGTTTGTATGTGTATAAGTGTTGTCTTTCAGTTGTCTTGTTGTTGTGGTTGTTGTTGTTGTTGTTGTTACAAGTTAAGAAACTGTTGAATATTAAAACAGGACTGGATGAGTGTTTCATCATGGTTTTTAACTTTTCAGTGGTATATGTATATATGCGTATGTCCGTTTCCTTTAACTTGTATAAAACATTTAGATCTTATGATAACTTTGAACCACTGTATTGAATCACACCCTTAACAAAATATAGAGATGGTGGAGTTTATATTTATTTAATGATTTGAACACATAAATATGAGTAGGAAGGGGCACCGAATACATATACACCGCACAAATCACTTAATTTGTATGTGGTCTGTGATACTGCTCGGGTATCTAAACCGAAGTAGGTGGTTTTATTAGAGGGTCACACCCGAAGCCTTCAATCTAATGTTTTGATCCACAAGGCAGTGGAGATGCAGTTCCATGGTAATCAGTGACCAACATTTAGTTCATACGTCATTTGTTCCTTCGGGATCCTAAAGCCCATGTGCACGATTGGTTTGAAATCAGGGTTTTCAAACTTCCACAGATGGATCCTCTGTTTCCACCAATCCGCTTTTCATCCCCTCAATTTCATAAACAACACTCCCGTCATGTGAAGTTAATCAAGTAGGATTTCTGTGGCAGTAACTGTATACGCGTGGTCCCGTGAGAGCATTTGGAGCGTGAGGGTGAACTC